CTCCGGTTATCGTTTAACAGGTGGATATACTGCCGGTTAAAATTATTTTTGTATGTAAAATGTCAATTTATCGTTATGATAAAACATAATCAGACAATGAGAAAATGGGGGTCCAAGTATCTTTAAAAGTTCAAATTTGAAATTCTAAGAATGTTTTGAAATCTAGTTTTAAAAGCCACTTTTTAGAAGTATGTTTTGCAAATAACAATGCAGCTCATTTCGAATTTTTATCTTGATTGACATTATATGAATATTAATCTAATTAAACTCCATTGTTAATATTATATGAAAAAATTACCAAAAATTTCAATTTTGAAAAAATATTTGACTTTAAAACTAATTATTTCCAAATGATAGAAGCTCGAAGGACTCAATTTCTATCTAATATAAAACGATATGTTTTTAAATTAAGAATTCAACCATAGATAATAAGAGAAATTTTTGGTGAAAATTATTTGGACTTTAAAGCAAATTACTGTTTCATGTCATGGATGGTCTTATGTATGGTCTCATGTGTAGAATTTGATATGACTATTGATTTTTTAACAAATGAACACCTATGTACATCGAATTTTAATTTAATAACACTTATGTATATTAGGGTGGCCCCAAAATGGAAATGGCTGATGTTCCCACCGAAAATGAAAATTTAGTTCATTCTAAGATACCATTTCTCAAAATTTTTGTCCTGACGTCAATATTTTGTGAGCTGGATCAAAGAATAAAAAGGTCCTTTTTAGGGTTTTTATGTTATTTTTTTCACATTTTTGACAAATAAACCATATGCAAATTTAGTATCATATGAAAGGTCCTTGGGAGACGATTTCAATGACATACACAAATTTGTATACAACACCAAAATGATTACAAATGTCGTAATTTTTCGGGAAAATTTTAAGTTTTTCATATTTTTACATAGAAATATATAATGTAATTAATTGAAATTATTTATTATAGACCTCACCGCACCTAAATTTCACCGAAATGGTTTTTTCTGTTTTTCGAAATTCTTTATATTTTGTATTTTATCTTAATATTTTAAACTCTATTTTGTCCCAGGTATTCTGTTAGCTATATTTATCTAACATACTTAATATGTACATCAGCATACGCGTAATTTCATTAGCTTTACAATAGTATTTATTATTTATTATTTATTTATTATTCTATTATTTATTATTCTATTATTCTATTATCAATCAAATTTTTCAGTTTAACTATTTACCAATGTCGGTTTTTTCTAAATGTTGATTTTTTCGAATATCAAATAACCCGGTTTTTAACTTTTTAAAAGCCGGTTTCCAATACTTTTATTTGCTTTGTATTCAAAGATTACTTCAATTAAATTTTGAAATAAATAATAATACCTGTCTAAATTTTAAAATATTCGAGTCAAGAAACTAGAGTATATTTTTCTAAAGCACCTTTGGTTAAACTTTTTTGATTTTCCTAATTAATTCCTAATTAATTTATTTGTAAAATTGATTGGAATAACTGTTGGATAAAATTTTATCAATCTTAAGATTATATTCCAATTACAATAATTAATTTGGCGCTGAAATATTATAGCAGTGTTGGAATGCCTATGAAAATTAACTAAACAGGGACTTTAGAATAAACTAGGATTATGATTCTTCCCAATTTTTTACATTAAAGAAATAATGTTTATTTTAAAAAATCAGTTCGGGTCATAATTTTTTTTCAAATTAAACTAGATGTTTTTATGTATAATAAAAATCCGTTTTCTCTGAATTTGAAAAATATCAACCGGTTTTTTTCAAATGTCAACTATTCGAACTACTCGAAAACCGGTTTTTGGAAAATGTCGAATTGTTAATTATTTAAAAATATGTGAAGGTGTATTTAAAAAATTAACAACTTTCAGCAAAAAAAATATTTTAGTACTCTAATATCCAAAAAAGTACCCTCTGAAATATTTTTTGATACTGAAACAAAATCTCATTTTCCATCCCTGATACTTACTAATAGATGTGTCCTAGAAAACATTTGTTGATCTATTTCAGTTTGTTATGATTCGCGTATTCGTTGAGAAAGTAAATAGGAGCAGCCAATTTTCATTCAAGACCTACAACTTAAAAGTTACATTTTACTTTTTATACTAAGATGTACATACGTGTATGAATATCAAAACGAATGTGTAAATGTATAAAGCAAACAGACAGATAGACGGACGAATAGATAGACAGACAAACAAACATATAAAATGATAATAATAAACAATATTAAAGTATAACTAACACACTTTCAAAGCACATAAGAAGGCAAAGTATTATCATCAAGTTCATTTTTATTGCATTGTCTCGACCGGCATCCATTGTATACATACATAAATAAATTCATATGTATGTGTGTATTTTTTATTTATTTATTTTTTTCTTATTATGTTTATATGTATAAGGTATATGTCTATAACATAGTTTTGGTATCGTATGTCTCCCTATAACCTAAACCTATTAAAAATACATCGAAAGTAGAAATAAAAAAATAAAATAGAAACGAAAAAATAAATAAATAAATAAATGTGGAAAAAATTTGTCTTGGAAAGCTTACAGACAGCCGGACAGACTTAAAAGAAAATAAAGAAGAAGAGGACGAAAAAAAATAAAAAAGTTTGAAACATATTTTTTTCATTTGTGGGATATATTTTTTACATTAAATTGTTACTGCTGCTGTTGACCTTTATTTGCCAGACTCTATAATAAGTGAAAAAGAGTGTATGTGTGACTATGTGCGAATGTTTGTGTACGTATGTAGGTCTGCCCTAGTAGAGATGCTGAAAAGATATGGTACCTCATTTTCACACCCCCTCCCCATATTCTCCCATTGAGTGACTAACTAACTGGTAAACGATAAAAATGTAATAAAATTATAATGGAAGCGAATACAAATACAAACTGTGAACAAACATATCTTGCACACACAGTCACATTGATATATGATAACACATACAGACATAAAGACATGTGCATATGGACATAGAAAAAATCACGACGACAAAAAAATACAATACATATGTATGTACGTATGTATGTATGGATTTATAACACATTGACTCTAATATAATCACACAAGGATTTGGTACAAACAGGCAAACAGAGGAATTGCACCAACTTGCAACAAACATTTGTAGTAATTTTCTATTTAACAAAAATAAAAAACTAACATTCCAGAGACAATAGATTGAAAGTGAAAGTTATAAAAAAAAACAGAAAAATATAAAAAGCACTTTGATTATAACTTTTTTATAACACAACAATAAAGTTTTTTGTGGATGCCACAAAGCATTTGTGTGAACACACACGTATACATTCATGTATACATAGTACATCTGTGTACATGATTACTAATGCATATGAATAATATCGAGTCAATTAAGTAAATAATAATATAAACTTATAACTGTGCCAATTGAAGTTACATGTGTTAATTAATACAAATTCGGAAAATCATTTTTCTCTAAAATATGTTACATATTATCACCCCCTCAATATTGGTCATTATTTAAAAAAAAGAAATAATATTAATTAATTATTTCAATAGCCTGAGTAATTGACCACGAGAAATAAGTCGTAATATACTTAAGTTTAAGAGATCGTTATTTATTGCTTGTTCTCTTAAGACATCAGATATACTCTTAAATGTTTATGTGAAAGATGCAACTTGCATCAAACACTCGTTAGCCTCAACTAGAGGTTGTCATGCGCAAAACTTGTTCTTCTACATTGTTACGAACGTTGTGCGTGTATCCAGCCCCCTTCCACATAGTTTATTCAACATGTTCCCTTTTATACTGGAAGGCGGAGCCAATTATACTTTCTTATTCGCTCTTGCACAGGAAAGCCATGGAATTATAAACCTACATACCTATGCTAATGTGTGTGTGTGAAATTTAGGTTCCTAACATGTACCTGTTTATTGACTTTAAAGAGGGATGTTTCCTGTCAAATGTCCCCAATACACTCTCTTCTCACGCACAAAATTGCAGGTAAATAAATGATAAATTGCATGCAACTGAATGAGGAGCACGTGGCATGTTCGCGATTGTGTGAGCTTGTTGCTTATTCGTCGTGAATTCGCGATGTACTTGTATGCGCGCCGAAATTGTTTTCAGTTGTGATGATTTTAGTGTGACGATGATGATTTGATGTTGAGCATATAGATGAACGAATCCGGGTGGGTGTTGGGGTTAGTGAGGGTGAGTGGGAGCAGAGGTGGTGGTAATAGTTAAAACAAGCGCGCCAATTAGCATGTTACCCATTGTCTTTACTCACTCGCAAAAGTTTCGAACCCTTATTGTGTTGTTCTTGATAATGTTGTTGTGTAACATTTATGCAAATGAAATGTGGGTTTTACGGGCGTTTCTTGCGTTTATATCCATGTATTTATTTCAAAAATACATATTGTGTACCTACATAAATATATTTACACTGTCTGTCCTCCTTGCGAATGTTGTGTGTCGAAAAGATATTTGTACATAGAACGTAGAGTATTTCGTCAAATCGCGATGAAACATTGAAAGGATATTTAAAAACGCGTCTTATTTTTATTGGATGCGCGTGTACAAGAATTGTATCATTTTCAACTGAATCATATACATACATATATACAATGTTATATTAATCAACCCTTATACATAGATATACACATACATACAATTTCGTTATATACATGCTTATGTATTTTTAATATGTATAACTTTGGCGAATAAGAGCGCACTGCACTTTTACACATATTGTAAATACGTTAGTAAATACCTGAAATATACCAGATCTAAATTAAGTTTTTTTCACAGCGACACGGTAATGCATTTCTGTAAGCGTTTGTCTTGCTTTATCAATTAGCAAGTTTATAAATATGTACATACCTTGAAGTACATACATATGTATATACGTATTTATATTTACTTTTCTAAAGACATTTAATTTTGGTTGTGTAATTGCACTAACTGATCAACTTTTATTTATTTAATTTTTTTATAGAATTCAAACTGTTTGACAACGGTCTGAGGTTGGATATTTCCAGCTACCCCCATATGAACATCCGCATGAGCACGAAGGGCAAGCGTCCTTTAAGGAGCTTGACTCCAAGCGACAAAGTCCATGCTATTCAGCGCATACATGATGGCGAATCAAAGGCTTCAGTGGCACGTGATATTGGAGTCCCTGAATCAACATTACGTGGCTGGTGTAAAAATGAAGATAAATTAAGATTTATGTCTCGGCAGGCAGCAGCTGAGAAAATGGGTGGTGAGCCTTTAGCAGATAAATTAGATGGTAACACGAATCTGTTAGGTGGACCTCCCGAAAAAAGACAGCGCATGGACAACTCGATGCCATTGAATTTTTCGAATAAAATGAAATTTGATGAATTAACAACATTCAAGAGAGCTCCACTTACTGGGCTAGATTTTGGGGGTAATAAATCTTTAAGTGATATTGGAACTTTCAATGGATTGGCTCCCGATTATGGGGCTTTCAATGGTACAGCAAAGAACAAAGTATTTGGGGCAGATATTCCACGGCCCGTCGATCCCTCTATTGCTGCTATAAGTCCATTATCAAGCCTTTCACATCTTTCAGGGCTCACGGGACTTTCTCAATCGCCCTTAGCTATAAGTTTTAACGAGCTTACATCAAACTTAAACTTATTGGCTCAACTTAATCCCGGCTTGGCAGCCATGTCTGGTCTTAATGGTTTAGCAAATACTGGAAATAACTTACGGGCAAATACCATGAAACCAAAACCACAAATACAAAGTCCTCGCAGTGAGACTACGGAAAGACAAACGGGTCTTACAGTAAAGAATTGGGCCAAGCAAAAACCATCGACACCAACATCCAGCGATTCTCCATCATTTGGTATTAATTTAAGCCAAAGTGATAATACAAAGGGTCAATTGAAAAGTCCAGGTACTTCTCTTATGCCTCCACAATTGGGTGGAAATTTGCCTCCTCTTCCAACAATGCCCGAAGATCCATTACTGTATTGGCTTAAATCGCAACAGGCCATGCTAGGTTTGAATAATATTTACCCACCACCTCCACCTATCGGTGCAACAAGTCCACCAATTAGATCATCAACTCCTCAGCAACAAAGTTTGCATGCTAGTACACCTCCTATAATTCCCACACCCTTAACTCCATCTTCAACTCCATCTGGTAGCCTGGATGATAAAAACTCTGCATGGTTCAATTGGTGCAAAGCGTTTGGGGCAAGTCTTAACTCCTTGGCTCCTGCTGCCGCTGCAGTAGCTCTACATGGTAATCCATTGCATCAGCCACCAACTTCTGTTAATGTCGAATCGTCCAACACAGTTGATGGGCCACTTGTTGGAAAAACTGGATTCGAAAATATTTTGTATTCACAACTTACCAAAGACTCGGCTCCTAGTCCTTCGGTACAAAGTTCCTCATCAGTTGAGCAAATACATACCGAAGCACCAAACAATATTGATATGTCAAATAAACCAGAAGACCTCTCCGCTAGAAGCGCTAAAGCCAGAAGTTCACCACTCAGCCCTCTGCCAACACCAGCACAAAGCCCTGAACGCAACGTTGACCAAACAGTCTCAAACCACAACAGTCCAGCACCTAGTCCAATACCTGTAGGTTGCGAGGCAGATTTTCAGCAGTCAGAAGCAAAACCTGACACAAGAAACAGTGTAGCCGATTGTAGAGATGTTCTCGACAACCTCCTATACAAAATTAACAATAATAATATTGAAAACAGTAATCGTCAAGTTTCTTCAGCAGTTAGTGAGTCGGATGCCAGCTATTCAAGTGATCATAACAATACAGATGACTGTCCCCAAAATAACAACAATAACTCAAATAAAACAGACGAAGAAGAGCGTGCAAAGTGCGCCGCATTATATGAAGACGCAGAAGTGGATGCCGATTACATAGAAGCTATTACACATGGCGAGAAATTTTTACAGTGGCTCGAAAACTGCAGTAATCCTCGAGTAACCGCTGTTCAATTAATGCAGCTGCGATTTCTTATCTCATCGGTCAAAACAGTTCTCGATCCAAAACCAACCATAAAGGAATCCACAAGCACATCAAATTTATCAATTGCTATCGAAATAGATGACTCTTCTGAAGAAAGTAATCGCTCAAAGATGCGTCGTCGCAAATAGGAACAACCAAAATTGGCTGCATTTGAGCCAGAGCCATGCACCAGTAAAGAAGTAGTAATAATCGATGCCGATGAATATCAAATGGAAAATTCTTTCGCTCCAGCTGTATATCAATCATCAGCCACTCTACTAAATTCCTTATTTTTTCCACCTTATGAAATCGTTCGTTCAGACGATTCAGACGATAACAACAACAGTACCAACAATATTACTGAATACATTAGCGACCACGATATCAACGCTGAAAGTAATAGTTCCATTTATTCGGAAAAAGAAACTCATGTCGTTCCGAACACTTTCCATGAATAAATGCGTATAAATATTATTAAATGAGCTTCTCAAATATCGAATAGAAATTTTAACTAAAATACACATGAATGTAACAAGTAAAACTAAATTAATTTAATTGTCGCTAATATATAAATATATATATATATATATATATATACATATATATATATATATATATATATATATATATATATTTTTCGGTTAATTTTTCTACTTCAACTCCATAGAACATACACATTTTCTTCCAAATTAATCCAATTTATTAAAAACTTATTTATAAAACGTTGTAAAGTTCCTTTCCTGCAACAGAGGAACAAGACGCATAGATATTAATCATTATTGCGCTTATTAGATCTGAATTAATTTTATGTTTAAGTATAAATAAAAACTTCCTGTATATAATACATTCAATGAATATTAATTTCATTTTAATTTTTTATTTAATTTCAATAAATTTTTATTGAGATTTATGAAAAAAATTTATTAACATTATTCCTTATTAATTTACTCTATTAGATAAAAACTGTTATATTAAGATGAATTTAAAACAAAACACAAAAACAAAAATCGAATCAAAAAAATTATTAGATAAATGTCATTCCCTTCTCAGATTACGAAAATAATATGTTTTATTTGATTTCCATTTTAGAATTTAACGCATCCATATCTAAAGTAGACCCAATAAATTTAATAATTATACAAGGATTTTATTTTCATCACTAAAATAGTCACATTTCAAAAAACAACAATATCAATAAACTACATTCGAAAAGCTTACAGTAAACGATATTAGCAATAACCAAATAAATAATTACATACACTTTTATAATCAGTTCAATCAAATAATTAGAGATAAAATGAAAAATAGTTAAAAACAATCTAATTCAATACAGACGTTTGAATTAAAAAACAAAACAATTTTAAATGCATATTCAATTAAACAAATTAAAAACTAAATACTTTGCGTTTTTATTTCTACTGTATCGAAGGTAAATAGAGAATGTTTTCGTATATAAAAACTAATAACTTAATAAAATTTAATGATGAAATAAAACTCGGGGTTTAGCGCTTTTGTCTATACAATTAGATATTAAATAAAGTCGTAGAATGTGGTTGTATTTTTTACGTTTTATTTAATTATTGGATCGCTCACTCTTTTTACGGTCTTTATAATAAGACAGTAAATCTTGCTATTTAAATTTTCTCTCAGTGGAAATTCATATTTGGCAAATTATCCTTAAATTTGATCAGAGAAAGCTCTGCGTAACCTTTTAATCGATGTTGTGTTGCGGTGAGTGACCTATCAAGCGGTTTGTCAAATATGCCTCACACGTTTTTTAATTCTTACTTGACCAGTGCACAATGGTTCAAATCATCACTTTTTCTGTGTGAAATTAATGACGACTGTTGGAAGGTTAAATTGGAGCAAATTCTGAATAGTTATATTAAAACAAATATAAGCGAAAATTAACTCTTTGGTGGCCATTAAACCATTGACTACCATCAAGGGGACTTGTATAAGACAACTTTTTCATTTCAGAATGTCTTTTTTTATAAACTTTCTTTACATCCGAACTGATGTTGCTACTGTCTGATCTAAGGAATTAGTTTTAATTTAAAACGTTTTCTTCCATCTGCAATTACCCATACTATTGCTAAGCAATAACGAAAATTCGGACATTGTTATCCAAAAATTCCTTGCAAACAACAAGAATAACAGATTTACCTCAGTAAAATAATTATATGTGCATTGATGAAAAGTATTATTTGTCAAAATATTTTGAATTAAAAATTAAAAAAAAATTATTGTTATGCTGTTAAAGCTGCCTACACACTATGAGAGAAGTCGTTAGATTTTTATTTCATACTGCCAAAACAATATAAAATGAAAATCGGCATGATTATCAAAAAATTCAAATAGAAAATATATTTTGTTTTTACACTATCAGATTTGAAATAAAATGAAACTTCAATTCTAAAAAATTTATTTGTTTATTTGAAATTTTATTTGAAATTTGTTTTTGCTTTTTTCTTTGTTTAAATAAAAATAAAACTCAAATAAAATGGAAAAATCCAATCGTTTTGAAATTTTTGAAAAAATTAAAAAAAAAAACATACGATTTTCAAATTTCCATCCGTATTTTCAGTAAGTTTTATTACATTTTGTATCTACACAATAATATTTTTCATTTTATTTGAAAATTTTGAAATGTCGTTTTATTAAATATTATGGTGTGTAGGCTTAAGTAGAGCTATTAAAAAAACAACCAAATTTTTTTATTTTTTTCTTAAGGCCAAAATTTTATCTTCTTCTATATATATAAAAATGAATGTGTGTTTGTTTGTATGTTTGAACGTTATAGACTACAAAACTGCTGAACCGATTTTCTTGAAATTTTCACAGCGTATTCCTGTATGTCTGGAATAGGTAATAGGCTGCTTTTTATTTTGAAATTTCAAGTGGGCGAGGTGCCACGCCCATATTAGAAAATATTAAATCCGTATATTTGAGATAATATAACATTTAGAGTCCTCAAATTTTGTCGGAGCCACTTTAGTGTCAATATGATTATTTAGGACAAAAAGTAGGCGGACTAGCATTAGGGGGCGTGGCACCTCCCATATAAATTAAAAACAAAAATTCGTTTATCTTAGAAACAATTACAGTTAGAATCTTAAAATTTTGCACAAATAACTTTAACATCCATGTTAACATTTTGGGAAATAAATTGGCGGACTACCCATGAGGGGAGCGGCACCTCCCATATTAATTAAATGCAAAAATTCGTTTATCTGGGAAACTAATATTCGTCTGAACATTTTGGATGAAAAAGATCGGACTTCCATCCATAATATGAATTAAATAGAAAAATTCGTATATCTGAGAAACTATTAGAGCTAGAATCTTCAAATTTTACTTGCAGAACTTTGACATTCATCTGAACAATTAGAGTATAACGGGCGGACTTTCAATGGGGGACTTGGTACCTCCCATATTAATTAAATACAAAATTTCGTTTATCTGGGAAACTAATAGAACTAGATTCATCAAATTTTGCAGAAATGACTTCAATAATCATCTGAATATTTTGGAGGAAAAAGATCGGACTTTTATCTGGGGAGCTTGAAGCCCCCACATGAATGAAATAGAATAATTGTATATCTGGAAACTACTAGAGCTAGAATCTTAAAATTTTACATAAAAAACTCTGACATTCATGTGAACATTTAGAGAATAACGGGCGAGCTTTCAATTGGGGGCTTGGCACTACATAAATGAATTAAGTACAAAATTTCGTATATCTTGGAAACTATTATATTATTAAAATTTTTCATAGATAGATAGAAATTGGCGAACTTTCAGTAATTTGCTTGGCATCTCTAATATGTAACATATTGTAAATCTAGAGAACTATTGCAGTTAGAATCTTCAAAATCGTTAAGTGGGTTTTTTATTTATACTGCTTTTAGGGTAGCAAAGCACACTGGGTAAAGCTAGTAAAAAATAAAAATTCTCATAGAAATAATTATATGTGCAAACAAAAATATTTATAAAAGTCATTAAATAATAACGGGAGTTTAATAATATTGACGGATTAATAGACAATTTGAAACCACCAAAACATAACACCCCTTAATTTCTTTCCAAGAGCAATGCCAATATTGTATCTACAGTGCTTTAAAGCTTCTTGCAGTTAAAAAATCGGTTGGAACAGTAACAAATCTGGGCCGTCAGCATTCCGCGGATATCCTCTCTGAGAACAAAGTCCACACTCAATATTGACAAATTTAACAATCGAATTTCTATCGACTTAGAGAGTAGTTTTTACTCTATCGATTTAGAGAGTAGTTTTCAGCTATGAAATCATTTTAAAAATGTGTGTATTTTAATGTCCTGTAAATTTTGTGGAAATTCCCACATACATTTTAATAGGTACGAAAACTATTTTGAACCTATATCTAAAGTTAAATACAGCCGCTCCCTTAAGTGATTAGGCACTATGTATGAAATTGAAGCATGTTCACCCCGGATGTCTTCAATATAAATGGTGCACATTTTTAGCAATGAGAAATTCTTATGTGAACATTTCAAGTTGTTTCTACAACTATTAGTGAAGTAAGAGACTTCCAAAATGAATATGCTTCAAACCTATCCGTGACGATGAGTCACTTATGCGAGCGGCCATAGAAGTAAGACCAAAATAGACTTCGTACCTATTAAAATTTATGGGGAATTTCCAAAAAATTACAGGACAGTAAAATACACACATTTTTAAAATGATCGAAATCGCTGAGCTTTTCTGACAAAGAACACGCTGATGTACAGTGAAAGGCTCAGAAAACTACTCTCTAAGTCGATAAATTTTCGATTGTTAAATTGGTCAGTATTGAGAGTGGACTTTCTTCTTAGAGAGGATATCCGGGGAATGCTGACGGCCCAGATTTATTATTGTTCCAACCTTTTTTTACTACAAGGACCTTTAAAGTACTGTAGATAGCTAGTGACAATATTGGCATTGCTCTTGGTAAGAAATTAAGAGGTATTATGTTTTGGAGGTTTCAAATTGTCAATTAACAAAGGAGTTACACTTTTATAAATATTTTTGTTTGCACATATAATTATTTTCTATGAGAATTTTTATTTTTTATTAAATTTTGGTCTAAAGAATAAAAATAAAAATTTTTTTGTTGTTTTTTAATAGCTCTACTACTACAGCATAACAATAAAAAATTGTAATTTTTAGTTCAAAATATTTTTAACAAAAAAATACTTTTTATCAATGCACATATAATTATTTTACAATTATTGTGATACATTAACACATATCGGACAAGAACAGTTTCCTTTGCGTAGTCCAAAAAAATTTTTAAATGCTCATAAACAAGGCAAGGATTTTTATGCACTAACAAATTAAAAATATGCGCTTATATGCACTCTAAAATCGAAAAGTATGCACCAAAAATAGTTCCTTGAGAATTACACTAATTATAATAAGGAACACCTTTAAATATTTAATTTCTGAAAGTGAGAAAGCTTACTAATTCATAATTATTCTGAATTTTATCGTATGATACCATTTTTAAGTGAATTGTGAACGTTAAATCCATATTCTAA